GTTAGATGAGGTGATGGAGTCGAATTTCCACACGGCAAACAGCGTATTGTAGCAGACCATCCGCCGGCTCTGAGGTGAAAAGAAGAGCAGTCTAAAAGTCTTGAAGGACAGGTCTGAACACCCTCTTACCGAGACATTCTTCGGTGATGGAGAGAGTACTTTGGGGAACTTCTTAACCCCGATCAGTCGCAGAAAGATACGCCAGTAAGACAGAAAGGAACAGCTATTCGTATTTCTGTAGATGAAATCACTCTAGCTGTTTAAGCTTAATATATGAAAAGGCTAGTAGAGTTGATGAAATCCATTCTGAAATGCTCAAAGCAGTAGGCAGGTAAGAAGTGCTATCTTACACGTGTCTGTGAAACAGCAATGGCTGCTGATAAGGTAGTAGCATACTGGAGAACTGGAGCTGTAATACCCCTGTTCAAAAAGGGCTATAGCAGAGGGTGCTTCAGTTATCGGGACATAACCTTATTGAGCCTCCCGGGTAAAGTCTACGCAAAGGTGCTATAGTGGAGGTTCCGCGAAATAACTGACTCCAAAATACATGAAAACGGTATTGCTTCCGGTACGGCCGGAGCACATCTGACCGATATTTGGTCTATGCCAGAGTGTGTGGAAATCGTGAGAGTTCGGCTATCCGTTTTATATGTTCCGTGTGAACCTAGAGAAATCCTGTGACCAGATTCCTGGAAACGGTCTATGCGCATGCCGAGTATTCATGGCCAGTTGCTACGGGCCATTCAATCACTATGCGCTGATATCAGGTGCTGTGTCGTAGTAAATGGCTTCAAGTCGAGAATTTTTAGCGCTGGCACTGGCCTCTGCCAAGCCTGCATTCTGCCCTCTCTCCTGTTTGTGTTGTGCATGGATAGAATAGTCAAGCGCAGCGAAGGCAATGAGCGTATCAGTGTAGTAGATGTCGAGTCATGAAGGTTGCTGTTTACAGACGACCTTGTTTTATTGGCATCTGAAACTGATCTGCAGCTGTCTCTGGAAGGGTTCGCAGCCGAGTGCAACGTGGCCGGCTTGCGAATGAGCGTGTCTGAAACGAATAGCCTGGTGCTTTCTCGTTCTCCTGCCCGTTGCTCTTTTCAGATAAGCGAGAAACAGTGGAATAGGTAGATAAGTTCACCTACCTCGAGTGATGGAAAATTTGAGGAAGTGATCGATTGGCTGATTGAAGTAGCTAGTGGCGTCCTGCATGAATTAGCCCGAATCATTCTGAGTAAGTCGGAGCTGAGTCTGAAGACTAAACTCTCGGTGTTCAAGTAGATCTTCACCTCTGTGCTTAGCTATGGTCATTAGCCGCTTACCATGACTGAAACACTTCGATTATGGATGCAATGGGCTTTCTGAGGCTGGTCTTGTGCATCTCGACATTGTCAGGAGTACAGAAATCCGCGAGAGCGTTGGGGTATAGTCGCTGCCTCTTCAAATTGAAAACACCGCTGCCATGGTTTGGGAACGTGTTGCGAATGCTTCCAGATATGAAGGTGAAGCAGATATTTCTTGCCCAGCAGACGGGCAGAAAGCCTATTCTACAGCCTAGATTATCCTGGTGCAAATATATGTAAGGAGTCTGCTCTAGACTCCGGTTGTTTTCTGCCGGAGCTAGCCTCTGGTGCAAGCTCAGGAACGTTGGAGACACTGTCTGATGCGTCTCCCTCCGCGACCCGAAAGGGGAAGTGGTCATGGAAGATAAAAATTTCATGTTGAATATTATTTTTTAATCATGACAGCATACTTTATTTCTTAAACATCACTTATAAACCTAGATCCAGGAATGTTTCGTATTCGAAGCTGCGTTGTTGGGAAGGATAATTACTAAAATTATAATTAGATGTTTGTACCTTCCGATGGTAGATCATTTCAAAATTCCTTCTTGACAAGCATTGATTGAATACGACAGTAAATACATTTGAGCGGCAGTTGGAGATATAAGCTGAATTAATGATTGATCAAAACTGACAGTCGAAGTATCTCCAAGGGTGACTGAATTGAATTCCCAACTATCTGCAGTTTAATTAATTGCTTGCGAGGAAATGATCTACAATTTGAGCGCTGCGAGGCTTGCAGCTGACGGCAACTTTGATCCAAGAAATTCGTGAAACCGGCGATCATTACTATGCAAGGTAAATTTCGTACCTCATGTTCTAGCGTTCTTTCTTTATTGCTGCGAGGATTATCAAAATGAAATCTGCTCTACGACCTGTCGTTCGTATTTGACGTGCTAGCGGACACTAGCGCTCCCATGCTTTGTTAGAGAGCCATTGCATCAGTGGATTGGGTACATTTTGGTGATTAACAGTGTATTGGATTTTTTACGTAATAGGATTAAACGTGCCGATGGTTCTGTCCAGCTAGTACGTGAATGCACTGAACACATCCTAGTTTGAATTCTGAATATGAAGTCTATGAAACTGCATGTCATAGTCGCCTACGTACTGAAATATTTTACTGTGATCGCATACGGTCGCCTAACAGTGTCATGTCGAAACATGGTGTCATAATTGTTAGAGAACTTTAGTGCCAAAAGTAGAAAGGAAGGAAAGTTTGTAACAGTTGGAATGCCAATGTGTCTTTTATGATGCTGCCATTTCTGACATCCTCCTTTTCATGGAGATAGTGGTGGTCATCTTTATTTCCGTGACATCAGCAAGGAGTGCCTATCACATTTTTAAATGCAGAGTGGACAACAGCGCTAAATGGCAAGCATAGTGCGTGCTCTCCTGTTTCCTTCCCACAGAGTGGTATTCATTTATCAACCTCGGAAGAAGGGCGAATAGTCCTGACCAGTGCTCGAACCCATGAATTCTCGGCTTTATGTCCAACGTCCTATTAGCTGAGAAACGTTTGGTAAGTTCCTTGTTACACTGAATTAGTTGTTAAGTCAGTAAGTTAGTTTCGATGGCCGTTAACCCTTTCAGGTCTCGCAGGCAGACGCGTTAAACGATTCCTGACCCTGTGTCAGCGTTTCAGCTTCAATAAAAAATAGGACGAGTCTGGAGCAGAGTCCTTCAAGGAAATTGCTCCAAATTATTCTTGGCCCTCCCTGGTATCATCTTTTGGGTACGCAGGAACTGTTTCGCCTCCCATTCTGGAAGCATTCGCAAGACGTGCCCAAACCATCGCAGTTGTGACTTCTCAGTCTGCAGAAGCAACGGCTGTACAGAAAGGCTATCTTGGCCATCTAAATTTCGCCTTAGGCGTTTGTCTCAAAGAGCCCATTTCAGCCGCTTGTACCCGATATCGAAGTTTCTCTCTCATGTGCTTAGATGAGCATCAGGATGAAGATCCACTTGAACACCGGCAGTTCATAGTTCAGAGTCAGCTCTGCCTTAATCAAATCGGCTAAGAGAACACGCAGAACGCAGCCAGCCATTTCACTTCGCATGTGCGTCTCCCACTCCCATTTTCCATCATAAGTAAGCTCGAGCCCGACGTACTTGAATCTCTCAACTAGCTTCACTGCTTCTCTGTTTATCAGCAGGATGCAGAGGTCAGGAGAACAAGAAAGCACTAGACTTTTCGTTTTAGACACGACTATATGCATGATGCTCGTCACATTCCACCTTTAACGTTTCTACAATTTCTCAACAATCTAGCGGAGGGCAAATATCTGGACAGATGTGCTTCGGCTGGGCCGGAAGTCACACTTCTCTTCTTGTATCTTGGAGTCAGTTATTCCGCGGTACCTAATTTTTAGCACTTTTGACTTTACCCGGGAGACTCAATAGGGTATTGCCCCGATAACTTGCTCTCCCTGTGATCTTCGTTCTGGGTCAGGAGTACTACATTCCCCGTTCTCTATTTCACTAGTGTCTTCCTCAGAGCCATTGCAGTTTGATAGCTACGTGTTAGCCACATCATGCCTTGTTCGCCTAAAGCATCACAGTCGGATTTTATCGATTCCAGCGGTCTTGTCGCATGTCGCATTTCAAACTTCTTGGCTTCAAGCTTCTGTGGCTTTGTCTACTGAAAGACTAATATCCGTTGTCTGGTACTCTTCAACCAGTTCTTTGGCGGTTGCTCGCGGTGAAGGAGTTCCTTAAAGTATATCTCCCATGGTAAGAAGACGACCGAATTTGTCCTTCAGTACCTTTAGACTGCCCTTTTTTCATTTCGAAGAAGGTGGATGGTCTGCCAGAATACTTTGTTCTTCGTCTGGAAATTTGACCGCAGGAACTTACCGAACTTGTTCCAAATTGACTTTCGTTTTGGCCGATGCCTTTGCTTCTGCCTTGTGCGCTTCTTCGTACCACATTCGAGATGAAGGATTTTTGCTTAGAAGTCTCCTTAAATACAGTCTTTTTCTCGCTGGCAGCCTCTTTAACCTGCTGTGTTTGTTGTGCCTATTCATGTCACAGACTTGAGCCGTCTGCGTAAGCAGAACATCTGGTTTGTGACGTCCGCTGTATCCGCAGCTCTGTAACACCTTTTCTATAATGCAGTTATTACTGTATAGCGGAAGGAAGTACTCCTCTTCGAGCGATCTACCTCTGCTTTGTTCATCCGTGTTGCACTTGGCCTGCTGGTGGACGTTTGCCGTGTTTCGGCGCCCACACGAAAAACTCATGCACTGGCGTAAATGTTCAACCAGATCATTCAGCAGGGCCAACCTTTTCTTAATCTCCACCTCTACCGAAGTAACCTGTTCCCCAATGTCTTTAGCTTACGTGGTCTTACCATTTAACTTTCAGTATGGTTCGAAACCAACGCTGTTGTTCGCTCTTCAACTTTCTTTGCTCTTTCGTTAAGACAGCTGTCCTCATCCCGTACAAGAACATTGGCTTGGCATAAGCATGGTACAGGCGTGTTTTGGTTAGATGAGTTGCTTCTTTCTCAGCCCAAATATTGAACAGGATTCGAAGGGCGGTTGAGGCTAAGACGATCTTTCTCTTTGAATCAGACTGAATAGGGCCATCGCTGGAGATGATGCAGCCGAGATACTTAATCCTTCTGAATGGCTTCACCTCTTTGTCCCACTTGTAGATCGGCTGTATCGGATGGGTCCCTCATAACATTTGACTTCCTGGCGTTTGACTTCCGGCGTTTGACTCATTTCGCAGTTTCCTGTGTTGCATGCGAAAGCCCGTTAGTTGACAGAACCTGCTTACCATACTACTCACTAGGACAATATTATCTGCGTACTCCCGATCAGCAGAATATAGAGCCGGAAGTTTTGAACTGCAACTTCCTCTAGAATGGGACCTTCGCATTTACAGTTTCCTGCATTGTATCAGAATGTCGATAACAATGTTTACTAGCAAAGACGATTGCTAATCTCCTTGGCGAACTCCACAGTTAATGGGGACCAGTCTTTCACTATGGTGCCTGCAAACAGCTGGGGAACTCTGGTATCCACCAGAAAGTTTGTCTGATTCTCAGGCTGAAAGGGAATCCCTTTTACACCGCAACGTTCGTCAGCAGCCCTGAGTAAGCCGCCCTTAAGCAGCTTCCACATCAGCGGACATTACCTGGATCTGTTCACACCATCTTGCGTCGTTTGCAAGTTTGGCTCTCGTATCCGCCGAAGATAATGTTTTTCACTTGATTCTCTTGTTGTTTCTGCTACCAGATCGTCGTATGGTGATTCTCACAACGTAGCGTGCCAATAAGGTGGTGATCAGATGACAGCTCTGCGCTTCTCTTAACGCAAGCGTCCACTGCAGATCGCGTGAGTCAACCGATACGTTTATCAAATCGATAATCAACTTCTGTGCTCAAGCTTCCCTATACCAGGTACAATGTTGCACACTTCGATGTTCTAAGGTGTTGATAACACACCGTCCGCTGTTTGCACAAAACCGCGAAAACTTCATTCCGTTATTGTTAAGGTCTCTAAGACCGTGTGTCCTTACATGTCCATTGAAATTGCCCATTATGAGTATGGATATCGTAGTCGGCACTTCGTACAGATCACTTACTTCGTCCAAGAAGAACTCATGTTCTCCTTCCGCATTTTATTCATATATCTGTAGCAAGGTCAAAGCTTTAGCATCTTGTAATTTCAGCCGGACGATTGCCACTCTTCCCCCTCCCCCCCATAAGGCTGGGCTCTACTAGAACACCAATACCGGCCTAAGCCCGCATCGTGATGTCAACACCTGAGTAGAAGAGTTTATGCCGTAGCGGTTCAGAACTCCAGAGCCTTCGAGCTTCGTTGACTAGAGTCCGATTACGTAAAGTTAGTACTACCTTACGGCCTCAGCAGCTGGCTCCTGCTGTTTACCTCTGAGTTGAGAGATTCTTCCAATCTTTGACATTGAGTTCCTACTGTCGGTATCATTTCCTTGAATTCTCTCTGACGTGCTATAGTGAAATAGTACTGTCTGCCACCTTCGTTCAGAACGGCCAGCATCTTGCAACGCAACGGTACTCTCGTCATCTTTCTTTTCAATCTTCGTCAGCCGTCGTCATGCTGATGCATTCCCTGACACGATGCAGGTACTGATCGACGACCTTTCGCAGTATGCTTCAGTTTCCCAATAGCCTGCGCGGACCTTGATAATTCGGCGGTAATCGAGCCAGTATGGCTAACGCTTGATAGCGGCAATTCAATGAGGAGAGGTGGCTGGGTTTTACAGGAACCTCATCATTTGTCCAAACTCTCCTCCTTTATCGGTCGACCTTGGGATTGGCGATGTCGGTTTTATTATCAGTAGTTAATGAGAAATGTTTAAAATTACTGCACCCAACCACACCTAAAATGCTTAAAGTCAAACAACTACCCACTGTATCATTGCTCCTTAAAAGTGACCTAGCGACTCTGTAACAGAGGACCAAGAGCATCGGTTGAGCAGCGTACAACAGTGGCGACTGCTTTCCCATTGCGAGGGTTAAGTTGCAGAACTTTATCCGGAAGGACTTTTCTTCGGCCGTTGGTATTCGCAGTGGATGCAGAGATTGGAAAAGTGAAATTAACTCAG